CCACCCAGAGGCTTCTCCACCTCTGCTGCTGTGACCTGTCCTGCTCCACCCAGAGGCTACTCCACCTCTGCTGCTGTGACCTGTCCTCCTCCACCCAGAGGCTACTCCACCTCTGCTGCTGTGACCCGTCCTGCTCCACCCAGAGGCTACTCCACCTCTGCTGCTGTGACCCGTCCTGCTCCACCCAGAGACTACTCCACCTCTGCTGCTGTGACCTGTCCTGCTCCACCTCTGCTGCTGTGACCTGTCCTGCTCCACCCAGAGACTACTCCACCTCTGCTGCTGTGACCTGTCCTGCTCCACCCAGAGGCTTCTCCACCTCTGCTGCTGTGACCCGTCCTGCTCCACCCAGAGACTACTCCACCTCTGCTGCTGTGACCCGTCCTGCTCCACCCAGAGACTACTCCACCTCTGCTGCTGTGACCTGTCCTGCTCCACCCAGAGGCTACTCCACCTCTGCTGCTGTGACCCGTCCTGCTCCACCCAGAGGCTACTCCACCTCTGCTGCTGTGACCTGTCCTGCTCCACCCAGAGGCTTCTCCACCTCTGCTGCTGTGACCTGTCCTGCTCCACCCAGAGGCTACTCCACCTCTGCTGCTGTGACCTGTCCTGCTCCACCCAGAGGCTTCTCCACCTCTGCTGCTGTGACCTGTCCTGCTCCACCCAGAGGCTTCTCCACCTCTGCTGCTGTGACCCGTCCTGCTCCACCCAGAGACTACTCCACCTCTGCTGCTGTGACCCGTCCTGCTCCACCCAGAGGCTTCTCCACCTCTGCTGCTGTGACCCGTCCTGCTCCACCCAGAGGCTTCTCCACCTCTGCTACTTTGACCCGTCCTGCTCCACCCAGAGGCTACTCCACCTCTGCTGCTGTGACCTGAAGGCCTGTTGCAATTTTTGCTGCTACTGGATACCTGAATTTCTCCTCCGGGGATCAATAAAATATCTATCTATCTGTGTGGCTAGATATATTGTAGACAGAAAGGCTCCTGGAAGTCGTATGTTAAACACCAGGAGGAAGCAGGCTTTGTCTACGCTAACACGGAGCGTCTTTTGTTCGGTATCTGCATATAAGTTGTGTCTTGTACTGTCAAAAGGACCTTACAGACCCGGCTTTAGACCTGTCCTGACAGAGCCTGAGCTGGTCGTGCTCTGTCTCTTGACTTGTCTCCTTGGATGCAACTGAGATTAAAAATGCAGAAACGATGTCTTTTGTGTATGTGTTTTTGTCAGGCAGGACTGAGGTTAAAACAGCATTAACAGGTAATCATTGGATATTTGGAAAGAAGCCAAAGTTGTTGTCAGTGTGAGCTAAAAATATCAGAAAACTGCGGCGGCATGCACCTTTCAGTCTCAAGGAAATGCACGGGACTCCAACACCGCCCGCAGTTTTAATTATTCTTCTGCAAACAATGGACATCTGTAAGCCTTAACATTTCTCTGAGGTTTTTCAGAATTTGTTTTGATACAGATTGACAGCACACTTCGTTATCAGTTCTGTGTCCACGCATAATGAGTTATTATTTCTCTATGGAAACAGCCACGTTCTTTTGTCACCGTCTTGACAGCTCGGCACAATCCAACTAATCGGCCGTCACTTTGGAAAACAGAAAACCAATCAGCCCATCACCATTACAAAAAAAATCCAACAATTGTTTTCCGATTCATCTGTGAAGAGAAAAGACGAGTTTAAGAAAATGCGTCTGAGCTGTTTTTGATTTAAGTATTCAGGGTTCATTTATCTGGTCTCACGGCTCACCCACGTCTGCTTTTTCAAGAGGATTAATCTGAGGAATGTCAAATTTATCATGCTTTTAGCACAACTCCTTTTTAATCTATGTTTGGACAAATCTGTCAATAAAACACATGGTGCAGCAGCGGCTCAGCTGGTAGAGCACTGGTCTTTGGTATTAATGGTCATGGGTTCACCTGACTCAGACACTTAACCCCACTTTGCCCGAAGCCCCCGCCAAAAAAAGACCAAGGCTGTGTCTTTGATGACGGAAAAGACATCTTTTTGAATGCGATGGAAACCACAGCAGGTTCTAAGTGTCTCTGAAACATTTGTTTTGTGTTTTACAATTGCTATTTTTCTTTCTTGTTTTTTCTGCCTGAGATGTTGCTGCAGTTCAGTGCTCATGGTTTTACACTGGTCCAGACCAGAGCAGAGAGGATTCATGGTTTTACACTGGTCCAGACCAGAGCAGAGAGGATTCATGGTTTTACACTGGTCCAGACCAGAGCAGAGAGGATTCATGGTTTTACACTGGTCCAGACCAGAGCAGAGAGGATTCATGGTTTTACACTGGTCCAGACCAGAGCAGAGAGGATTCATGGTTTTACACTGGTCCAGACCAGAGCAGAGAGGATTCATGGTTTTACACTGGTCCAGACCAGAGCAGAGAGGATTCATGGTCCAAACCAAGTGGATCAGGTGAAAATCCACTGGAGGAATGCTAACTTTAAAAAAAAAAAATACTTTGGACCAGAGCAGAGAAATGGTACAAACCAAACCTGGTCGTACCACACCATAGTACACATTACATCTGGTACTAAGGTCTGGATTGTCTCCATTGACTCCGTTAACAGGTGGGAGGGGTTAACTCCTTTAGCAGATTGAAACCATTGGATCTGAGTTTACTGTGACGTATGTGTTGCCAGAAGTCGCTACGCAGCAGCCCAGTGTGAGCCTCCTTTAGATTTACAGCATAAGGCCACAATGATTTTGGCAGGTCACTCTCGACGATCATACACCTGGCCATGTCAAATAATGTCCGCCAGTTCCGCTCTGCTGTGCCGTTCTGGTGTGGAGAATACGGCGCAGAGGTCTCATGTCTAATTCTGTTTTGCTTTAATAATGACTGATACTCTTTTGATGTGAACTCAGTCCCATTATCAGATCTGATACATTTAATCTTCCCATAGGGGGCAGTATCAGCTAGAAACTTCTCTGTTGCATTTACTGTATCACTCTTTTGTTTAAGAAAATAAACAAAAACTGCACTGGAAAAATCATCAGTGAATGATAGGGCATATCTGTAGCCCTCTTTGGACATCTACTGGCCCTGCAAGATCTGTATGTACTAACTGTAACACATCTGTGGCACGTGCATCAGCTTCTCTGCTCCTTGTTTGAACAAACTTTCCCTGGATGCACACTTCACATGGTGGAATAGGCTTCTCCATTTTACCTTTAATAGTCATACCTCTAACCACTTTTGGTAGCTTTTGTACGTCTTCATGATTACAGTGTCCAAGTATTTCATGCCATGTCTGTAGATCAAAACACCCATTAAGTGTATCCTTACCTCCTAGTGCTGTAGCGAGGTAGTACAGTTTATTTTTCACACTGATTGGAAAAACAGTACCGTCTCTGTGAATGAGGGAGTTCTTCCCCTCCTTGAAGACCATCGTTGCCCCACTAGATGTGGCTGCCTTCACAGAAAAGATGTTCTGTGGGTACGACGGGATGAACAGTGCTCCCCTCAGTGTTGCTGCATGGCGCTGACCACTGCTGTCGACCAGGAACACCTCAGCATCACCCCGCTGCTTGGCCACTCCCTGGCACCTGGTTCCATCTGCGAGCTCCACACAGTGGGTCCGATCTGAAGTTCTCATCGAAGCTTCTGAACATCGACTCCTCGGTAATAATGTGGGACGTTGCTCCAGGGTTGACCATCAGTCCCCTCTTGACACGTCCTCCTGGGTGACTCTCCACGTCTTGGGTCAGGACCTCCTCAGCGACTTGTCTTATATTATCTTGTCGGCGCCGTCTGCAGTTTGCGTCCTTGTGTGTCGCACTTTTACAAAAACTGCGACACACTTGGTGAAGAAATACATTCTTCACCAAACTACAACCTTCCCGTTCAACGCAAACTCATCACCCACATCTAACTACAATACCCGCCTCCCGCGCTCTCTGATTGGTCGGATGGAATTCAACCGATTGTAATCTCAAACACAGGGACCAGACCCAGACGTTACATGCAGGACATGATGATTGAGCGGAGAGTACGGATGGATAAGACCAGACTGGTACAAACCAAGAGGCTGATAAATCTCTGCTGTGACCTGAAGGGCTGTTGCTTTTTATTACGGTTGTTAGCTTTATAGAATCTATTTTATTTTTTATATTTAATGCTACTGGACACCTGAATTTCTCCTACGGGGAATCAATAAAGTATCTATCTTCCTGTGGGTTAGACCCAGAAATGGACTAAGGGAAAGAAAATGATACATTTGACATCATGACATTTCACCTTTATTATTGTAATTAAAAATACATCTGGACACACACAGTATACTCTGACGCACAGGTCTAACACAGCCATAGTAACGTCTTTTTATCAGCATTTGTCAAATCTAACGTTTTTAACATATTAGTCCTTGAGCTAGATTCTAACAAATATAAAACCTGCTGTTCAAACACAACACGTAGCACGCACTTGAAGGACTCATGCTGTGAATAATAAAACTTTTCTATTTCAGGCAACATATGCTTACTTGGCGCCCTCGGAGCCACATCGCTGGTCGTTCGTAACACCTCGAACAGCGTTGGACCTTGCACCTGGCGACCTAAGTGCTGAGAGAGTACTTTTTAGCTACAATAGTCGAGCTTAAACACCACAGAACGGCAGCGATTCAGAGAGACCAAGATAGCATTAAAATGAAGTGCTGTGTTTGTTGGCATAGGGTAAAGAGTAGGAGGGATGTGGATTACAAACAGGAGACCTAGAGCAGTCTATTTCTCTAAAAGTCAAGCTAATCAGACCCTGTTTAATAAAACTAAGGCAAATAAGTTATAATTAACAACTGTAAGAAATGAGGAAACACAGCTGGTTCTTTTATACTGAAGAGAAAAATACGAATTGAAATCAGAGAGAGCAGAGACTAGCTGGAGGGTGGTAGGAGAGAGGTTGTTTTCTAATTATATGGATATGGTCGCGGGCCGCTGGGTGAGGCCGTGACCGCAGGCGGGGATGGAGGGTCAGGGCGCAGTAAATCTAGCTAACAGTGCACGGGTCGTCCTTGCAGGGCTTGATGTCGCCTTGCAGGAGCTGGAACATGACAGCCTTGGTCAGGTAGCTGGAGGTTCCTCTCTGTCCCACTGCGGGCGTGTTGTAGAAGGCCTCCATGTTGACCTGGATCAGATGGTGCACAAGACGTTAGCTGAGGAATGTTTTCTGTGTTATAGAGGGGAAAGAATGAAACCTGCACCTGTTTTTGGGCAGCTTTTATACGATGACAGTCCTTCTGGAAGTCGTCAAATGCCTCCTTCACCAAACCGTCCAGATCCACTTTGTCTGTGAATTCCAACTCAGGGTTTCTCTCGAGCACCACAGAAACCACCATAAGAAGCTGCAGAGATGCAAAAAGAAATGACACCGAAAGAAAAATACAGCACGTCCCAAAATGTGGCCTTTTTCTTAAACTACCTCAACAATTATTTGTCTGTACTCCGGCAAAACAATGTTCTTCAGTGTGTCCTCTACCAGCAGCGAGAAGTTCATTTCATACATGGTCATGTCCGACAAAGTGGGTTGCTGAAACATATTGGTTAACAAAAGAATATTAGCCCTTTAGACGTAAAAAAACAGGATTTCTACCTGAGCTCCTGAAACCAGCGACCTGTCCATAAACGTTTCTACATCACTTTTATTGATATCTGTTATAGATTATACGAGTCATCTTAAAGGGCCCATATCACGGTTTTCTCTGCTTTAAACATGATTACAAAGCTATTTGGCCTTCATACACAAGCCCACAGTAGTTTATTCATTGATTCTGTCAATCTTTTGTAAGAGAACAATCTGTCTCCTTCCCCAGCGTGAGGCACAGAAACGCTCGGGTCCACTTCAGTGACGAAACACACTGATGACGCGCATGACCCCGTTTGCTTTGTATTTAAAATAGTTGTTAAATACTTTTGTCAAAACGGGGTAAACAATACACAATTAGTATGCTGTTTTTGTCTAAAATAATAAAAATAAAAATAAATTAAAAGCCGACGGGAGGTGATTGACGGATCAAAACAGCGAATCAGAGCGCACAGGCTCCGGCTCCCGAGTCCAGCGTCTGTGGTCTGGTCTCGCGGACTCCACATAGAGCTGCTGTTTTTATGCTTTTGTCAGAAACTAAAAGTGTTAGGATCACGTCAACTTGAATGAAGTGTGTTATGGGTGTAAATATGTGACACACTATTTGGCACTAAGAGGGGGGCGGGGGGAGGCGGGTGAGGGCGGGGGAGGGCGGGGGGAGGCGGGTGAGGCGGGGGGAGGGCGGGGGGAGGCGGGTGAGGGCGGGTGAGGGCGGGGGGAGGGCGGGGGGAGGCGGGTGAGGGCGGGGGAGGCGGGTGAGGGCGGGGGGAGGGCGGGGGGAGGGCGGGGGGAGGGCGGGGGGAGGCGGGTGAGGGCGGGGGGAGGCGGGTGAGGGCGGGGGGAGGGCGGGGGGAGGGCGGGGGAGGGCGGGGGGAGGCGGGTGAGGGCGGGGGGGAGGGCGGGGGGAGGGCGGGGGGAGGCGGGTGAGGGCGGGCGAGGGCGGGGGGAGGCGGGTGAGGGCGGGGGGAGGGCGGGGGGAGGGCGGGGGGAGGCGGGTGAGGGCGGGCGAGGGCGAGGGGGGGGGGAGGCGGGTGAGGGCGGGGGGAGGCGGGCGAGGGCGGGGGGAGGCGGGCGAGGGCGGGGGGAGGCGGGTGAGGGCGGGGGAGGCGGGCGAGGGCGGGGGGAGGCGGGTGAGGGCGGGGGGAGGCGGGTGAGGGCGGGGGGAGGCGGGCGAGGGGGGGGAGGCGGGTGAGGGCGGGGGGAGGCGGGTGAGGGCGGGGGGAGGCGGGCGAGGGCGGGGGGAGGCGGGTGAGGGCGGGGGGAGGCGGCTCACAGGCAGAGGAGCAGACTCTGGATCAGCTCGTTTGAGTCGAGGTGACGTCACCTCTGCACAAGAGATGGCTCTAATCTCACAAGCTTTGATTGTTGTGTGGTGTATCATATACATTAATATCACACATGTGCAGAGGACTGACTCTGAAACATGAAGAAAAGCGTGATATAGGACCTTTAATCTTTGAGGCTCAACCATTTTTCTGTGTTACGTGCCCAGGTACAGGATTGGGTAGTCTGGTTTTACCACACCATCGTACTCAATTCATCTGGTACTAAGGTCTGGATTAGCTCCATTGACTCCGTTAACAGGTGGGAGGGGTTAACTCCTTTTGCAGATTGAAACAATTGGATCTGAGTTTATGTAATAAGATAAGATAAGATAAACCTTTATTAGTCTCACAGTGTAGAAATGTCAGTGTCATCGTTGCACATTACAGCAGAGAGAGGAAATAAGACTCAGACGCACACATCAAAGTCTATTATTTAAGATAATAGACAATAAATTTAAGATCAAATAAAATAAAATAAGATAAACTCTGGGCTATAATTGCACTTGGTTCGGAGTATTTACAGATGTCTATATTATACATTAGCAGCGGAGAATATGAGAATATGAGCAGAATAAACATCAGAAATACGCCCGAGTGGAGTCGAGCCTCAACATCTTAACAACCAGTGCCTTAAACGTTTTCGCCGTGTCCTCCCTCCTTCTTGTTGCCTCCTCCGTGAGCCAAAGAGAACGTAAACAGAAGGAGGGAGGACACACACATCTTCACATCACATTTCTAAAAAAACGGGGCTAAGTTTTAAAAGGGTTAAGTATTGATGTGACTATAGGGACAGAAAGTGTACCTGCGGGAGGTGGATCCCGGCCACAAGGATCCCTTTGGGGGTCCTCTCCAGGATCTGCCACACTCGGTCATAAAAGCCCAGGGGCACTCTGTTCAAAGAGCCATCTATCTGCCGTCTGTTCAGCCACGACCTGAGAAAGACACACACTTCAAACGCCTTGGACACAGGGGACATGCTGTGGAAGAGCTGCTGGTCAGGGCAGATCAAAAAAGATAAATGTTTTTCAACCCTAGGAAAAAGAAGTCCCAGACAATAGATACATAGATAATAACACTCATACTAATAATTGTGCACGTTGAGAGGAAATCATCGTGATGTCATTACATTTACTTATGTTTTGGGTCAGTACTGTTCACTCAGCCCTATATCATGACAAATTCTATTAAAACAAACAAATTCCAGACTGATTATTTGCCTGGAAATGAGTTGTTATATAAAGCACTGGTTGTGGAGAAAAAGCTGAGCACATCCAGAGGAAAAGCACTGAGCCGTAGAAAAGGCGGGGAAGTGTGTGTATTTGACTCTGTTCTCCAAAATGCTGCGTGAGGTAGTTCAAGAACACCTTAAAATGGTCAAACGAGCACTAAACACAATCAGTGAAAGTCCAATAATGACAAAAGGAGTTGACGATGAAATTGTGGAGTTAGTCTGTGTGCGTGTGTGTGTGTCTGTGCATGTGTGTGCATGTGTGTGTGTGTGTGTGTCTGTGCATGTGTGTGCATGTGTGTGTGTGAGCGTGTGTGTGCATGTGTGTGTGTGCATGTGTGTGCATGTGTGTGTGTGTGTGTAAGCGCACCTGCCCATGTGCTGTGGCTGCAGCACGTCCAGCAGCAGCTGCTTGACGTCACTCGGAGACAGTTGGTAAATGTCCTGAGGAGGCAGGTCTCCAGCTCGGATCTTCAGCTCGTGTTTCATGGCCTGTACGATCCACCTGAGACAGACGCACAAGAAATACTTTATCTGTGTTTAAACCAGAGACACATCTGATGAACCCATGAACCCCATGCTGATCAAGCAATAACATGAATTACAAATGATATAAAAATACTAGACTAGAAAGAAGACGAGAGTAAACAGTAAAAATGATGACTATAGTTTGTTATATGATTTTATCTCAAATGTTAACTACACAAACGTACACACAATGAAATGGTGAACCCTGTCATAATGAATGAATGAATTCATTAAGAATATACTGAACAATGAATCAGTATTAATGATATGTGGGACAGTATAAAGTGGATGAATGATGTCATAATGAAACAGAATAGAGTATTTATTTTGTGTTTTTGAGGTGGGGACAGTTTACATGAATCCACATTAGTCATTATCTAGTTCTACCTTACCCCACTCTGATCTTGAGCATGCCACTGAAAAGCTCTGGGTTGTTGGAAAGGATCCATCCGATGTGTATGACCAGTTCTTGCTGCAGAACGGCCTCTCTCTGGGCCCCGTGAGGCGAGCATTTGCTGTAGATGATGCCCTGGATCACTCCTGGTGACAACGGGTTAGAAATCACCTCCTCTTCATGCCCGAACAGTCCCAGGGTCACCTGGTGATAACAGAGGCAGGTGCACAGGACACAGGACACAGGAGAAGGTTGTCAGTGCGAGCACGACACATGCATTTATACCACTACAACTTTTGTGTTGTTAAATAAATTGGCCTCCTCTCCCAGCTTGTGTAAAAGTAAGTGAGCAAAATTGCAGATCAGAAAATTACTAGTATTTGTTTTCTTCTGAAACCCATCTGGAGAAAATTACCCCTCTGCAATCTTTCTGATGAGAGGACCTCACTTTGATGCCTTGTTCTGATGAAATCCAGCACTTAGAAAACATTAATCAATATTCCATCTTCACATCTAAACTGCAAGTCACAGAAAAGGCTCAGGGCTGGAAACCGCTTGGAAAAGGCTTTCTTTAAATGCAGAAAGGAACACAATGTTGGATTCCAATTCCAAGGGGAAAATAGCCATAGAATGGAGTCCAAATAGACTTAAAGTGCAGTGGGCTTGAACTGTTATTCCAAACCGAGAAGCAAGACTTAAATTTAAAATCAGCTTTTACAATCATGTCGAGCAGCAGGTAATCTATATGCAGATTCACACCTTGAGCTCCTTCAGCATAATGAAATGCCTAAAAGTGTTCAGAAGGCTAAAATGAGCCCAGATAACTGACACTCTGGAGAGGAAGCTTATCTCAGAATAAGACTGCACAGAAAATGATGCACGAAAGCCATCCAGCATGAGGGGCACCAGCAGACAAACCCTGCCCACAACATCTCAATCGGCAGAGAGTGGAGCACGCTGCATATTAGAATACAGTCGAGCTACAGCAAAAGTTTAGTTTCACACAAAATGGAAGCAAGGAATGGGAGCATGCAGCTGTAATAAAACTCCCATAGGATCACGGCATGAGGAGCTCCGGATTAACAACCATTCCACCAGTGAACATTAAAACAAATGTCACTGCCAATTACGCTGGTGCCACAATATTGCCTGGAGCCTGTGTGTCCACTTACCTGCTTGCCATGCACTAATACACTAGTAATACTGGGGGCAAGGCTGTCCACTAGCTTAGTTAAGAGGCTGGCAGCAAGACGGACAACAGACCTAGTGGCGAGAAGAAGAACAATCTTGACAAATGAACTTAAAAGATTCCAATCATTCACTTTTCTTTGTAATATAAGCATTTTAATGTTCACTTATTGCTGCATGTCTTAAAGATGGCAGCCTCCTCATAACTGCTGTAGTCCTATGAGGAAAAGCCAGGCTAACTCTGGGAACACGGCGGGGAAGCTTACGCTGAAGCGGTGGATACATGAAATGGGTTGATTGAATGGATCGTGGGCGTGGCTATAATCAGCAGAGACATATACATTATCTGTGAATTGGCTGAGGGCAGCAGTCTGTAGCTGTGAGTGTGTACGCAGGAGGCGCACCATCAGGACGTACACATGAGGAGCACCTACAGCTTTGGAGGGAGGTTGTTTTCATATATTTTTGCATTTGGAGATTGATGCTGTGTCATTGTCGTGTCACACTGTTGCCAAACCTATTTCAAGCTTCACTTCCTTCTCCACGTTCAGAAAATGTATTAGAATAAACATTTGAGTCATCTTAATTTTGCATCCAGTTATATAATTGTATCTGTATCTATGATCTTAACCCTCTGTAGGCGGCATGGATGACTTAAGTCGACGAGATGAGGTACTGATTAAAGCGGCAGATTGTGTGAAACGGTCTGGGCTCATAGTCTGGGCTCTCAGTCTGGGTTTGGGCTCTCAGTCTGGGTCTGGGCTCTCAGTCTGGGTTTGGGCTCTCAGTCTGGGCTCTCAGTCTGGGCTCTCAGTCTGGGTCTGGGCTCTCAGTCTGGGTCTGGGCTCTCAGTCTGGGCTCTCAGTCTGGGCTCTCAGTCTGGGTCTGGGCTCTCAGTCGGGGCTCTCAGTCGGGGCTCTCAGTCTGGGTTTGGGCTCTCAGTCTGGGTTTGGGCTCTCAGTCTGGGTCTGGGCTCTCAGTCTGGGTTTGGGCTCTCAGTCTGGGCTCTCAGTCTGGGCTCTCAGTCTAAGTCTGGGCTCTCAGTCTAAGTCTGGGCTCTCAGTCTGGGCTCTCAGTCTGGGTTTGGGCTCTCAGTCTGGGCTCTCAGTCTGGGTCTGGGCTCTCAGTCTGGGTTTGGGCTCTCAGTCTGGGCTCTCAGTCTGGGCTCTCAGTCTAAGTCTGGGCTCTCAGTCGGGGCTCTCAGTCTGGGCTCTCAGTCTAAGTCTGGGCTCTCAGTCGGGGCTCTCAGTCGGGGCTCTCAGTCTGGGTCTGGGCTCTCAGTCTGGGTTTGGGCTCTCAGTCTGGGTTTGGGCTCTCAGTCTGGGTTTGGGCTCTCAGTCTGGGCTCTCAGTCTGGGCTCTCAGTCTGGGCTCTCAGTCTGGGCTCTCAGTCTGGGCTCTCAGTCGGGGCTCTCAGTCTAGGTCTGGGCTCTCAGTCGGGGCTCTCAGTCGGGGCTCTCAGTCTGGGTTTGGGCTCTCAGTCTGGGCTCTCAGTCTGGGTTTGGGCTCTCAGTCGGGGCTCTCAGTCGGGGCTCTCAGTCTGGGTCTGGGCTCTCAGTCTGGGTCTGGGCTCTCAGTCTGGGTCTGGGCCTCTCAGTCGGGGCTCTCAGTCTGGGTCTGGGCTCTCAGTCTGGGTTTGGGCTCTCAGTCTGGGCTCTCAGTCTGGGCTCTCAGTCTGGGCTCTCAGTCTAAGTCTGGGCTCTCAGTCTGGGCTCTCAGTCTGGGCTCTCAGTCTGGGTCTGGGCTCTCAGTCTGGGTTTGGGCTCTCAGTCGGGGCTCTCAGTCGGGGCTCTCAGTCTGGGTCTGGGCTCTCAGTCTGGGTCTGGGCTCTCAGTCTGGGTCTGGGCCTCTCAGTCGGGGCTCTCAGTCTGGGTCTGGGCTCTCAGTCTGGGTTTGGGCTCTCAGTCTGGGCTCTCAGTCTGGGCTCTCAGTCTGGGCTCTCAGTCTAAGTCTGGGCTCTCAGTCTGGGCTCTCAGTCTGGGCTCTCAGTCTGGGCTCTCAGTCTAAGTCTGGGCTCTCAGTCTGGGCTCTCAGTCTGGGCTCTCAGTCGGGGCTCTCAGTCTGGGTCTGGGCTCTCAGTCTGGGTTTGGGCTCTCAGTCTAGGTCTGGGCTCTCAGTCGGGGCTCTCAGTCGGGGCTCTCAGTCTGGGCTCTCAGTCTGGGCTCTCAGTCGGGGCTCTCAGTCTGGGTCTGGGCTCTCAGTCTGGGTCTGGGCTCTCAGTCTGGGTTTGGGCTCTCAGTCTGGGTTTGGGCTCTCAGTCTGGGCTCTCAGTCTGGGCTCTCAGTCTGGGCTCTCAGTCTGGGCTCTCAGTCTGGGCTCTCAGTCTGGGCTCTCAGTCGGGGCTCTCAGTCTAGGTCTGGGCTCTCAGTCGGGGCTCTCAGTCGGGGCTCTCAGTCTGGGTTTGGGCTCTCAGTCTGGGCTCTCAGTCTGGGTTTGGGCTCTCAGTCGGGGCTCTCAGTCTGGGTTTGGGCTCTCAGTCTGGGTCTGGGCTCTCAGTCTGGGTCTGGGCTCTCAGTCTGGGTTTGGGTTCTCAGTCTGGGCTCTCAGTCTGGGTTTGGGCTCTCAGTCTGGGCTCTCAGTCGGGGCTCTCAGTCTGGGTCTGGGCTCTCAGTCTGGGTCTGGGCTCTCAGTCTGGGTCTGGGCTCTCAGTCTGGGTTTGGGCTCTCAGTCTGGGCTCTCAGTCTGGGTTTGGGCTCTCAGTCTGGGCTCTCAGTCTGGGTTTGGGTTCTCAGTCTGGGCTCTCAGTCGGGGCTCTCAGTCTGGGTCTGGGCTCTCAGTCTGGGCTCTCAGTCTGGGTCTGGGCTCTCAGTCTGGGTCTGGGCTCTCAGTCTGGGTTTGGGTTCTCAGTCTGGGCTCTCAGTCTGGGTTTGGGCTCTCAGTCTGGGCTCTCAGTCGGGGCTCTCAGTCGGGGCTCTCAGTCTGGGTCTGGGCTCTCAGTCTGGGTCTGGGCTCTCAGTCTGGGTTTGGGCTCTCAGTCTGGGCTCTCAGTCTGGGTTTGGGCTCTCAGTCTGGGCTCTCAGTCTGGGTTTGGGCTCTCAGTCTGGGCTCTCAGTCTGGGTTTGGGCTCTCAGTCGGGGCTCTCAGTCGGGGCTCTCAGTCGGGGCTCTCAGTCGGGGCTCTCAGTCGGGGCTCTCAGTCTGGGTCTGGGCTCTCAAACATTTAATGAAAATCCTATAGTCCATGATTGCCAACGCCATATGACCTCATAATATAATTGAATCTCTACAAAAACGTTGGGCCATCCTTAATATTTCTCTAATTTACAAAAGTCGCTTATCACATTTTAGTTATAGCCTTTTGAAATTAATATGTCAAAATTGAGGGTTTTAGGATAAAAACTTCTGGTGGTTAAAGCGTTAAATACCTAAAAGGAGAATGATAATATGTCCTATCTTCTGTATACTACTATAGTAAGTAATAAGAATGACTATGTCTGTATACAATAAGTACATAGGAAGTGGTAAAACTAAATCACGATTAAAGAAGGGGCACTGTGTTTTCTCTGGATTAGCTCAGGTGATTACTTTTAGCCACAGTTACACACATAAACCAGTCATTAGTATTTAGTATAAAGTAATGCAACCCAATACATGTGAAACGTTTATCACAAAACACCAACTCTATATCGCTAAATTAAGCTTGAACATGGTTTGAAATGCTCTGAAGATCAGAAATGATTATCTGATTTAATGAGACATGTTACGGTAACTCAATGTGCAGCATGCCGTACCGTGGTTTAGCTAGCTGTGAAAGAGAGGCAGCCAAGTTTAGGAAAATCACTGTTGTAATGCTGGTAATTGGCACGTTTTATGGAGTAAGCCTGTGTTTTTAATCCATAACATTAAAAAAGCCTGAAGCAGAGCATCTATGCATGTTGTGGCTTAATCTCTCACACTATACAGCTAGCTATCCAACTAGGAGCGACCCGAGGTATGGGTTGAATTACCTGTTTCCCATTCACCAGTATAGTGGTGATGTGAGGGGCTATTGAGCTCGCAAACTTCTTGAGAATTGCAGCAACAAGGCGCACTGCGAGCCTATACAGTACGGCCAGAGTACACATGAGTTATACAGTCTGGGTACAGAAGTATGCAGTATTTAAAGAGCACAACACGACACTGCGACACGGACTAACGGTCACGAACGTCACATAAATATCATTCAGTGACATGTTTACTTTTGAATGCACTGGAAACGGCAGAAAGTCTTATGTATGTTTATGTAGCTCTGATACAGTCGTTTTACAATTGTTATTTTTGTTCTTTCTTTTTTCTGCCTGAGATGTTGCTGCAGAACAGTGTTCATGGTTTTACACTGGTCCAGACCAGAGCAGAGAGGATTCATGGTTTTACACTGGTCCAAGCCAGAGCAGAGAGGATTCATGGTTTTACACTGGTCCAGACCAGAGCAGAGAGGATTCATGGTTTTACACTGGTCCAGACCAGAGCAGAGAGGATTCATGGTTTTACACTGGTCCAGACCAGAGCAGAGAGGATTCATGGTTTTACACTGGTCCAGACCAGAGCAGAGAGGATTCATGGTTTTACACTGGTCGAGACCAGAGCAGAGAGGATTCATGGTCCGAACCAAGTGGATCAGGGGATAATCCACTGGAGGAATGCTAACTTTATGAAAAATGCAAACAAAGAATTCAGCTTCTCACTTTGGACCAGAGCAGAGAAAATAGTCTGAACCAAGAGGCTGCTCCACCTCTGCTGCTGTGACCTGAAGTGCTGCTGCATTTTAATATTACTATTGTTTGCGTTTTAGAATGATTAATGTATTTGTTTTGTTTGTTTGGATGTGTTTTTGCTGCTACCGGACAACAGGACTTAGTCCGGCGCATTTACACTGACGCTTAAAGATGCAGTAAGCGATGTTGTTAGCTTAGCCGTAGCACCGAATGGAACCCCCCCCCTCTCCACCAAACATCAAGCATTGTCTTTTCTTTGTCACAGGGAGAGTGAAGCAAATGTGAAATTGGCATTTTCTGTTCAGTCATTTTAGGTTTTAGAAAATCCGATAACTCCGGTGCACTCTGAGAAACAGGAAGAGGGTGAAGGCGGTAAACACATCCCATTGGTTCGTTGGAGATGAACGAATCCCATTGGTTTATTGTTATCGGTCCGCTCCAAAATATTTAATACATTTTTGTAGACTATAAACATCTGGTCATTTCCATTACTATTAGAAAACACATGAAAACTTGATACTTTTAGGGTTTAATTTTTTTTTAAAGGTGTCTAGAAAAAAATCACTGACTGCATCTTTAAGGCATCAATGTTGATGAATGAGCATTGTCCCAACTCAATAAATAAATGGAGTATGTATCTGTGTGTGTTTGTGTGAGTGTGTGTTTGTGTGAGTGTGTGTTTGTGTGAGTGTGTGTATTTGTAAGTGTGTGTTTGTGTGAGTGTGTGTATGTGTAGTGTGTGCTTGTGTGAGTGTGTGTATTTGTAAGTGTGTGTTTGTGTGAGTGTGTGTATGTGTAGTGTGTGCTTGTGTGAGTGTGTGTCTGTGTGTGTCTGACCAAAGCTTTCTGCTGCCTGCTCTCCTGTAGATCCTCTCCAGCTCATCCATCAGCCCCACTGGAATCACAAGACACTGCATTAGTTTAATTGCCTCAAACTATATTTGAGAGTTATATTCATCAAAGTACTTTTGGATAATTAAGAAAAGTATGTTACCGTCTTTGGCAAGGAATCCTGGGCCTTCTCTTGTCAAAAGTAATCCTGCAAGTTGGGCCTGACTGGCTAAACAGTCACAATCCTGGGAATAGACAAGAAAATACCTCCATCAAAACAATGACATTAATGTGCTTGAAATTATTGTAAAAACTGTCCTTAAATACATTAGATATTTTAGATTCTGGTTTCTGTATCACACCACAGACTCCCACTGATGTCTGCTGTCGATGTGTCCTTAGGCAAGACACTTCCCCCCACATTAGAATGAGTCTGGTGTGTGTGTGAATGGTTGCCTCGCTTCTGTCAGTGTGCCCCAGGGCAGCTGTGGCTACAGTAGTTTATCACCACCGTGTGTCTTTGAGTGTCCAAAACAGCGCTATATGAAACTGATGCATTATTATTATTACTACTATGCCTGAGAACAATAAGATGCTAACAACAGGATAGACTTTATTGATCTCACACTGGAGAAATGTACACGTCACATTTTAGAATCACTCAGATTCAAAGCAAAGGAAGGTTTCTCACCCATCATCTGTACTTCTTAGCAAGTTTTCCCGACGTTTCGTCCTCAACCTAGCGGACTTCTTCAGGGAATGAATTCGCGCGTTGGAGATTTATAACCTATGGGTGTGGTTAGCCACACCCTAATCCTGATACTAACTCATAAACAATCTACGGTCTGATGTAGAAGGGAGCAGGTCTAACGACCCTGCTGAGGCTAACGACCCTAACTCATTAGCATGTCACTGACCTATTGTCTGCTGGGATGCTCAAGTGGAGTGCAGGTCTCACCCCTCCTAACTCATTAGCATGTCACTGACCTATTGTCTGCTGGGATGCTCAAGTGGAGTGCAGGTCTCACCCCTCCTAACTCATTAGCATGTCACTGACCTATTGTCTGCTGGGATGCTCAAGTGGAGTGCAGGTCTCACCCCTCCTAACTCATTAGCATGTCACAGACCTTGTCCCAAGTTAGGGCGTTGTTTTTAGGATGTCGTCATCCTAAAAACAACGTACCAGCCATTGAAGAGGGACCCTACCAGTGGGTTTAGGAAAAAGATTATAGACTTCCTTCAGAGCTTAGTAAAAGAGGGCATTATTGAAAAACCACTATATTACAAACTTTACCCAGGAGACACCATTCCCAGTATTTATGGACTCCCAAAAATACACAAACAAAACTTTCCACTTCGGCCTATTGTATGTAGCATAGACTCTATCACCTACAACCTGGCTAAACACCTCAAAACCATTCTGGCTCCTTTGGTGGGTAACACCCACCATCACATAGAAAACACAAAAGAATTTGTGAATAAAATCAAACACCTCCAGTTTGACACAGATGAGACAATGGTCTCGTTTGATGTGACATCACTTTTTACGTCGGTCCCTATTACAGAGGCGGTGCAGGCTGTAAGAGAAAGCCTACAGAAAGACGCCACACTAGGGGAGAGAACGAAACTAACAGCTGACCACATCTGTGAAATACTTGAAATGTGTCTTAACACCACGTATTTCCAATTTAGAGGCACCTTCTTTAGACAGATTCATGGCTGTGCGATGGGCTCCCCAGTCTCTCCTATAGTGGCCAATCTGTATATGGAGAAACTGGAGGAACAAGCCCTGGGCTCTTACCAAGGGACAGCGCCAAGCCATTGGTTTCGATATGTAGACGATACATGGGTTAAGTTAAAGAAACAGGAAGTGGAACCATTTTCAGAACACATTCATTCGGTGGACCCTTTTATAAATTTCACTCGCGAGGATGCTAAGGAGAGTGAACTCTCCTTTCTAGATTGTAAGGTCATCATACTGGAGAACGGACAATTAGAGACTGAGGTCTTCAGAAAGTCCACTCACACTGACCAGTACTTGGCCTTTGACTCAAATCATCCGCTACAACACAAACTCGGGGTCATTAGAACGCTTCAACACCGAGCCCACCAGGTCCCCACAAGCTCGGAGGGAAAGAACAGAGAAACCAAACATGTTCAGAGAGCACTTTCCAGATGTGGCTACCCCAAGTGGTCTTTTACTAAAGCCCAAAGGACGAGAAAGGCCAGAGACACAGTCCAACAGACAGAAGAAAGTAGGAGGAGAGGCGTGTCCTTACCGTATGTGGCGGGAGTTTCAGAGAAACTACAAAGAATCTTTAGGCAACACAAAATCCCTGTGTATTTCAAACCTTTCAACACGTTAAGACAGAAATTAGTGCATCCCAAAGACAAAACACCCAGACACAAACAGAGCAATGTGGTGTATTCAATTAAATGTAGTGAAGAGGAGTGCACTGACCACTATATTGGAGAAACCAAACAAACTCTACAGAAACGACTTTACCAACATCGTAGAGAAAACTCTAGTGGGCCACAGTCGGCTGTTCATCTCCACCTCAAGGCCTCCAACCACACGGTGGATGACACAGAGGTTAAAATTCTGGCTCGGGAGAAGAATTGGTTTGAGAGAGGAGTGAAAGAAGCCATTTTTGTGAGGAAACAAAAACCTTCTCTTAACAGAGGAGGAGGGTTAAGATTTGTTTTGCCTCGCATCTATGACGACATCCTAAAAACAACGCCCTAACTTGGGACAAGGTCAGTGACATGCTAATGAGTTAGGAGGGGTGAGACCTGCACTCCACTTGAGCATCCCAGCAGACAATAGGTCAGTGACATGCTAATGAGTTAGGAGGGGTGAGACCTGCACTCCACTTGAGCATCCCAGCAGACAATAGGTCTGTGACATGCTAATGAGTTAGGAGGGGTGAGACCTGCACTCCACTTGAGCATCCCAGCAGACAATAGGTCTGTGACATGCTAAGGAGTTAGGAGGGGTGAGACCTGCACTCCACTTGAGCATCCCAGCAGACAATAGGTCTGTGACATGCTAATGAGTTAGGAGGGGTGAAACCTGCACTCCACTTGAGCATCCCTGCAGACAATAGGTCTGTGACATGCTAATGGGTTAGGGTCGTTAGCCTCAGCAGGGTCGTTAGACCTGCTCCCTTCTACATCAGACCTTAGATTGTTTATGAGTTAGTATCAGGGTTAGGGTGTGGCTAACCACACCCATAGGTTATAAATCTCCAACGCGCGGTCCGAGAATTCATTCCCTGAAGAAGTCTGCTAGTTTGAGGACGAAACTTTGGGAAAACTTGCTAAGAAGTACAGATGATGGTGAGAAACCTTCCTTTGCTTTGACTTATCCCTGTACGACTGAGGGCTTACACAAACTAATCACTCAGATTGTACAAAAGACAGAAGTGTGAAACATGTTAAGGTTAAAAATATAGTCTGAGCAGGATATAATTATGTACAACAAAAGAGTGGCAATAGTGACTTAAAGTGACTTATTGTACAGTCTGACAGCGGGGGGGATAAATCAAAGTATAATACTCATACATTGCACAGTACTTGCAGCCTTTATGGCCTCGTAAGCTTAAGAAAGTGAGTTACAATATATGATTAGGTACAAGAGAGAGGAGAGGACAGGTTCTCTCTACACCATGACACTAATTGTCTCAGGAGCAGGACGGAATTAATGAGGTGTTTATCTGTATTGACAAACCCAACAAGTCACTTGCATTTGACGAACATAACACGACATGACACGGGGGACGGCGAACAAATGTCAAGTCTTCAACAGTGGAAGCATGACGGATCCGGCTATTTTTACAACGATCAATCAAATCTGTATTGGTAGAGCACATTTAAAGGTGCAGTTAGCAATGTTGTTAGCTTAGCCGTAGCACCAGCTGGAAACCACTCCCCCCTCCCCTCCCTCTCCACCAAACCAAACATCCAGCATTTTCTTTTCTTAGTCACAACAGAGAGAGTGGAGCAAACGTGAAATTGGCATTTTCTGTTCAGTCATTTTAGGTTTTAGAAAATAATCAGATAACTCCGGTGCACTCTGAGAAACAGGAAGAGGGTGAAGGTAAACACATCCCATTGGTTCGTTGGAGATGAACGGATCCCATTGGTTTGTTTTTATCAGTCAGCTCCAAAATATTTGTTATTAATTTTTGGAGACTATAAACATCTGGTCAATTCCATTACTATTCGAAAACACATGATGACTTGATACTTTTAGGGTTTAGGGACGTTTTTCCACGATCACTGACTGCATCTTTAAAACAGCCAAGGCTTACAAAGTGCTGTACAGACAATGAGAAAAAAAACATACAAATACAGAAATATATATACACATAACCCAAAAACGTGGCTCTTTCTACCTGGTATTAAAAGCCAAAGAGAAAAGGTGTGTCTTTATCAGCCGTTTAAAGTGCTTGAGTGATTGTGCGGTTCTAAAGTGCAAATGTAAAAAGTTCCACAAAAGATGGAAACGGGTCAAATGCTCAGAGTGCTCTTACGTGGAACTTCTGCAGGATCTCATGAGTGGGTTTGTGCATCCATTCGTCCATGCTGATCTCAGGCTGCTGCTCCAGGTCTGACACGTTAGGGGTGCTCATCTGCCTCTTCACCTTTGAGTGTTTGGGCAGCTCCAACTCCTCAAAGCTCTTAAACTCTGGTATTCTTCAGCAAACATAGAAAGACACAAGTATTTGTATTCAATTATATTCAAATTAAAGTGGAAATATGTAAAATTTTCATGTCCAGTCATCATTAAATGGCCCTAATCTGTCAAATGGCATTAATAACTCATGCTACTCTCAAGAAACATGTGGACGCAGAACTAAAAAAGGTCTCGTTTTTATTCTCAAATCATTAATGACAAAAGCAAGGAATAAAACAAGGAATTATATCTTTGGGAAAAAGGCAGTTTGAAAAGATATAGATTTGTTGTTGACAGATTTTGCGGTCCCAGCTGGATTCGTCTGCATATCTGGCAACCTGAGTCAGGGAGAGTGGGAGAGGCTGCAGTACCACTTTTGGCCACATGTTTACAGACTGCTCCTTTAATGTGTATTCCTTAAAGATATATGGGAGGATTTTCTACTTCCGGGTGGAGCATCAAGACTATGGATCATCCCACTCTAAGAATTCAAAATATTGAGAAGTAAAAACGTCAGTGTTTGAATCAAGTACAGGTTTTACACCATGAGGAGTTTTTCAAGCAAATATAAAACATCTCTTTCAAGGAACGACCAATTTTGAGTTTTGGGAACGGTAGCAATATCGATTTTTTGAGACTCTGCTCTGACAGTTATTATTATTATTTATCAATACTGGTTCAAAATCAACCTGTTTAAACAGCATTCAGCAAGATTGATCGTTCCCTTATCTCCATGGCAACGAGACGGTACTCGAGCAGAAAACACTTACTCTGCTTCATTCACACGCAGGAAATCCAACTGCTCCACGACTGCACCAGATATCAGGGTCTGGAGGAAATACAATGAACAACAATAAGGAACTAAAGTTTAATTATGACACACTAGATGCTGGTGCTTTGTGAATCGGGTGCAGCTCTGATTGACACCCCCGCCCCCCCCACCCCCCCGACACAGAAAAGGATAATGGGGAAGTCTGGTCTCATCCATCCGTAAACTCTGGTCCATGGTCATCTCCTACATGTACGTCTGGGTCTTACCATGTGTAAACTCTGGTCCATGGTCATCTCCTACATGTACGTCTGGTCTTACCATGTGTAAACTCTGGTCCATGGTCATCTCCTACATGTACGTCTGGTCTTACCATGTGTAAACTCTGGTCCATGGTCATCTCCTACATGTACGTCTGGGTCTTACCATGTGTAAACTCTGGTCCATGGTCATCTCCTACATGTACGTCTGGTCTTACCATGTGTAAACTCTGGTCCATGGTCATATCCTACATGTACGTCTGGGTCTGATCCTATTGGCTGCAGTTTCCTCGCTTGTATCCCCTCCGACCAATCAGAGAGCGGGGGAGGCGGGTGTTGTAGGTCGGTGTCGGTGTGATGGTTGTAGTTTGGCAATGACGGCGAATGCGATAGAAAAGTAATCTGTTCTGGTTCGGCTCCAAATATCAAGAAATTGAAGCCGGAGCAAGACGAATATTTCAGCAATTTCAATACTGGCTCTGTTAGTGGCAAGGAGATGGCTACAGCTATGGCTAAATGCTAAAGCTAGGCTACATGCTAAATGCCTTACTCACTCGGGCGCATTACATACATCATGGCAAACTTAGATCCAATCGTTTCAATCTGCAAAAGTAGTTAACCCCTCCCACCTGTTAACGGAGTCAATGAAGCAAATCCAGACCTTCGTTCGAATCGAAATGAGTACGATGGTATGTTAAGACCAAGCTAGATAGATACAGTAGTGACCAATGCCTTATTCTTGCAAAGATTACAGAGCAATAACGCTCCAGGTTTTGCCTTGAGACACTAGTTGCTGTTCTAGTAATGCTGTCTGTTCAATATCATGTGGTTATTACCAAACTTTACACATGTTTCAGTGAGTTCTGCGCCAAAATACATGGTCTGGAAACAGGAAAACACATTTATTATAACGTGGGAAGCAGCAGTAACAGTAGAAGGGCCCCTGCTCCTGTGCCCTAAATGCAGTATTACCCATTCTAACTGAAGTCATGTTAAAACAGCAGTGTAGGCGAGGACGGCCCTGCTGCACATAACAATGAGATGATAAAGAAGAGAACTGTTTCAAAGGCTTGGAAGTTAGTTGTGAAGCGAATAACAAACAGCCAGTGTTGGGGGAAAGTTTAAAAGCGAAAGAGACGGAATATAGGAATGGTTTCTGAGCAGCAGTGCAGTCTGGGAACAAAGCAAGGTTATGTTAGATACGCCCCACAACGGAGGTGATAGTGCGGGTTTCATTCACTGAGGTTTAAATAGCTTTGCTTCTGTGCTGTGACTGCTAAACCAAGAAGCCTTGAGCAAAACCATGTCAAAAGTGTAAAATAATAATTACAAATACATTTTAGAAAGAGCAAATTCTGCCACTGACAACCAGATTTCACTGCGACTGGACGGGCGGCAGGGTGGCTGAGTGGTTAGCACTTTTGCTTCTCAGGAAGAAATTGACCTGGGTTTCGAACAGGGCCTTTCTGAGAGGAGTTTGCATGTTCTCCCCGTGTCTGTGTAAGTTTCCTCCAGGTGCTATGGTTTCCCCTACCACTAAAAACATGTACATTAGGTCTGGCATGCTCCTCCTGCACTGGCAACCTCTGTGTGTGGAGTAAGAGAAAAAAGCCCCAAAAAATACCAATTGTAATGCACTTTGTGACTCTGGTCTGAGAAAGGCGCTATATACATAAAAATTACTAAAAAAATCACATTTGTTTCATGAAATCTAAACTAACTCAGTGAAGCGAATCATTAACGACAAAACAAGGAATAAAAGCAGGATTTCTATCTTTGTGAAAAAGGTGTTGGTTATAGATTTGTTGTTGACTAAACTCTTGTCTATTCAGCTGTTATGGTCCCAGCTGGATTCGTCTGCATATCTGGCAACCTGAGTCAGGGAGAGTGGGAGAGGCTGCAGTACCACTTTTGGCCACATGTTTACACACTGCTCCTTTAAAAACTAAACCCTGCTTTAACTCCTGTATGTCATTGAACAAACCCATCATCCTTCATGTGCCGTTAATGATTTCACATAATGTCTCAGGCGTTTACAAATGCAACCATCAAACCAGGGTCATCACACCAGTCCTCATGACCATATGTTGCTTGAAACATCCTAAACTCATTACAGTAATTCAATCCTCCCTTTATCTGGCATTTAACTGAATACTGTTTCTCAAGGTCATGGCCGTGTCGATGATACGGCACTGAAGGCTTTTCTGTTACCCCCAATTTCGTGCCCAGGCTGTTCCTCTCCACGCCAACAAACAAAAACAATGTGTCGTCAAAAAGCAGTCTTAACGTGGCAAGGTCAGACGCAGATAAGTGTGAAAGAAGTGTGGACTGGAGAGACGACAGATCAGGAGGTGTCGTAAGTAAGTTTTTATTTATATACCGCCTTTTCACTGCAGATCTGAGTCACAAAGCGGTTTACAATTGTTAATTTTTGGGCATTTGTCTCTCACTCCACACAGAGATGGGAGGGGCCAGTACAGGAGGCACATGACAGAACTATTGGACATATTTTTAGTGGTAGGGGAAACCGGAGTACCCGGAGGAAACCTACGCAGACACGGGGAGAACATGCAAACTCCAATCAGAAAGGCCCTGGTCCGACCGGGATTCGAACCTTCTTGCTGAGAGGCGAGAGTGCTATCCACTCAGCCACCGTGCCGCCAGGAACCGTGGAACGGTCGTGACAAAAGGAACACACGTGTTCCGTAAAAAAAATACATACGGTAAAGTCTGGACTATAAGCCGCGGGTTTTATCGCACACTTTAAACGCTGCGGCTTATGCTAAGGTGTGGCTTAATTATTGTATTTATTTTTTCTTTGGCCCTAAAAACGTTTTGCGAAATAACAGGAGACCCAGAGAATGAATGAGTCGTTCACACAGGTCAAATTAATCTGTACTCCCCAGAAAATACTAAAAGAAAAGCATATCATTAATTTTGTGGTTCTCTGTATGGACTTGAAAGTGAAAAGAGTGTTGGTAGATGTTGCTTCTTACCTTTCTGCGTTCACTGGAAGATTAAAGTAGTACTAGAATGTAATATGCTGCTATCCAGAATATATAACTACAATATGTGTTTATAATATTTCGGGTGTTCATTTTGACATGTTCAGATGAATTATGTTAAAAAAACTGCTTTGAAGTGGCACCTTTTCACTTCCGCAAGAAACGCTAGGGGGCGCCAAAATGGCGGCGAAGACGTAGGAGAAGGACCTCTCACAGCAGCAGCAGCAGTCTGGGCTGAATCTGTAGGAGGTTTCACTGTCATCTGAACAAGGTATAAACATATTTTCATCAGTTTTGTACATAATAGTGTGCAACTCTTTTAACCTTTTAGCCTTATTTGTGAGATTCAAGCAAACTAGTGTTGGGCAAGTTAGCTAACTCTACTTGATATCATAAAACATGCTAACAAGGCTAATATTCGTGTTTACATTATGCCAGTCTCACTTTGCCTTAGATTTATTTACCACAATGTACATTGTAATATCCATGATAAATGCTAATCAAAATAACTTGAATTAAATAAATATTTTACTTTTATGAACAAAAAGCTGCAGAAGTTGAAAACATAGACGACATGTGATGCAATCATTGATAAAAATGCTAATTAAACCATTAATAGGTGTTAGCATTTTTGAATATTACAATGTACATTGTGGTAAATAAATCTAAGGCAAAGTGAGACTGGCATAATGTAAACACGAATATTAGCCTTGTTAGCATGTTTTATGATATCAAGTAGAGTTAGCTAACTTGCCCAACACTAGTTTGCTTGAATCTCACAAATAAGGCTAAAAGGTTAAAAGAGTTGCACACTATTATGTACAAAACTGATGAAAACATGTTTATACCTTGTTCAGATGACAGTGAAACCTCCTACAGAGTCAGCCCAGACTGCTGCTGCTGCTGTGAGAGGTCCTTCTCCTACGTCATCGCCGACATTTTGGTGCCCCCTAGCGTTTGTGAAAAGGTCCGACTTCAAAGCTGTTTTTTTAACATAATTCATCTGAACATGTCAAAATGAACACCCGAAATATTATAAACACATATTGTAGTTATATATTCTGGATAGCAGCATATTACATTCTAGTACTACTTTAAGAACAGCAGCACCTCACTTAATATCAGGACAGTACCAATGACTGTTTGTCATATTATTATTATTATTATTATTAATCATTATTAAGGACACAATACAATACAGTCCATAGTTAAATAAAATATCCAATACACACAGTAGAAAAATAAAAATAAACATGTACATAATATGCTGTAGAGTATAAAAGCATGAGCTCCAGTAAGTCCAGGTGATCCAGAGGTGAACAGCAGCTTTCCTTTTTTATTTAATTATCTTTTGTTATGTAATTAAAGTATGTATGGGTTTGTATTTATGTTTAAGACACCCACAAAACTTAGAGGATTATTGACTATTGACACTATATCTGACTGCCACTTTAAATTGTCACTTTTATTGTACATATATATCCTGCATGTAACATGTTTGCACATTTCCTCCTTTTGCACAATCTGAGTGTTCTATCCATGCCAAATGTGACATGTACATTTCTCCTCTGTGAGATAAATAAAGCTTATCTTATCTTATTATTTTCAAGGGGCTTTCTTAAAATTCTTACAGTAATAAGAAGAAATTTTGAATTCATATTTTAATATTTTTCAGTAATAAAAATGTGGGATGGTAGCGGCTTATAGTCCGGAAAAGACAGCACATAACAAACAAAAAGAGTAAACAGGCATTTTTGAGTGATACATTTTTCAGTGGATCAAAATAAATAAATAAAGTGCCCGACCTGTAGTCTGTCAACGTGAACTTTGACGCCACCGATGTTTCCTTTCTTGAAAGACGCCAGCATGTCCAGGACCGGGTTAAAGCGGCTTCCCCTGAGCACAAGAATACAAACTATTTATGCAAAACAGAACAATCTGGAACAGTCTTCCTGAAGATGTGAGACAGGCCTCCTCTCTGACAATGTTTAAAACCAGGTTAAAGACAGTTCTGTTTAGCTGTGCTACAACTGAGGGATTTTATATTTTTATCTTTCTTTTTAATGTTCTGGGATTATTTATGATTTTAATGCTTTCTTGTTTTGTTCAGCACTTTGAGTATGAAATTGTACCGTGCATATAAACTTGCCTTTAGTCATTTGAAAAAACCTGAGGAATTTAGAGCATACAGATATTTTAGATTCACTCCCACACGTTTCCATGTATTCTCAGGTCGGTGACTGAAGAGATCAAAGTCAAACCCATAACTACATATGAACGACTACATTTTCTTTAAAGTGACTTGTGCCATTTGCCAAAGAGCTTATTTCCCAGACTCCTTTGCAGCTCTCTCAGTAACAGCGGCTCAAACGAACCTGCCGTCGTTACTACAGCGATACAAACGAGAGACATTATGAAGCAGGTTTGTCCCGCCTTCTCTCCAAACAGATGAATACAAATACAGTTCTCGGGCTAAGACAAAGCATTGCATTCAGGGAGAGTTAAATTGCATTGAATCTGTCCAGACGGGAGTATTATTATTATTATTATTATTATGAGGCAGTGAAAGAGTAATGGGCTGATGAAAGGGGAGCCGTGAGAACACTATCTGTGGATATCAAAGCCATTACGATGTCTGTGCCATGTATTACTTGATGTTATCTTCACGAATGAGGACCAGGAAGAGAGGACGTCCCTGCATCTTCCAGCACTGTTTGATGAACTGTAAGGCGTTCTGGAAAAACACAGAAATATCATAACGGATAAAAAGTGTGAATGAATATGACTGACTGTGTGGTCTAGTCCTATCATGATTAAAGAATAATTATACTGATAAACCATTTCCGTTACGTCAGGCTTTTACTCCAGACTTTTTGGTGCAGCTTCATGTAAAGAAAACGTACTGATCCATCACTGCACCTAGAGAAGACATTTTATTATGAAATAGCTAATTGTGAAGTATGAATACTGAAGCCTGAGGCTAATCTGCAACCAGACAAAACTATAGCCCAATATATGTAGGTTTTTTTCGGTTTTTTATTGCTGTTTTATTCTGTAATTTGTTAACACTTTATCGCGTGTTTGCACACATCTCAGCCTGATCAAAGCAAAATTAAAAAAAAACATTAGACACACCGCCCATTGTACCGAACAAGAAAAGCGGATAGAATGTGCAGAATGAGACCAGAGAGAGAGAGAGAGAGAGACCAGAGAGAGACCAGGGAGAGAGAGACCAGAGAAAGAGAGAGAGAGAGACCAGAGAAAGAGAGAGAGAGAGACCAGAGAGAGACCAGGGAGAGACCAGGGAGAGACCAGAGAGAGACCAGAAAGAGAGAGAGAGAGACCAGAGAGAGACCAGTGAGAGACCAGTGAGACCAGAGAGAGAGACCAGAGAGAGACCAGTGAGACCAGAGAGAGAGACCAGACAGAGAGAGACCAGATAGAGAGAGAGATAGATACTTTATTGATCCCCTGTAGGAGAAATTCAGGTGTAAAAAATTAAACTGCTCATTCTAAAAGGCTAAGAATACTAATAATAATTCAGCCAATCAGGAGCGAGCGCCTGGCCTGCCCGTAATGAAAGGAGGAGGAGTTATTGTTCATATCTTTCTTTTCGCACACATCTAATTAAAAACACAAAGTCAAAAGTTTTTTAACAAGTATTTTAAGGCCAGAAACAGGTGTTTTATTTCCTTTGCAATTCAACCACACTGGACTAATGCTGAACGGCAACTCGCGAGCTATGTGTACCCTATTTTTAATAGTTATCGACAAGCGTTTGCTGCAACCTAATTTAATGACCCTCCTCACAAATATGATTATTCACGGCCCACATTAGCATCAGCACAACTCACCGTGATGTCATCAATAAGCAGCATAACATCCTGGGACAAGTAGAAGTCACTCAGATCAAAAACTATCGGGTAGCACACCACCGTCTTGCCCAGGATGCGATAAATCTGAAAAGGACAACCACACAGAGAGACACCAGTGCATTAAAAGACCGACGGCGGAGTGGTCCACCGATAACTGCGTATGCATTACTGTGGGCAGAGTATGAAACATTACTGTGGGCAGAGTATGAAACATTACTGTGGGCAGAGTATGAAACATTAGTGTGGGCAGAGTATGAAACATTAGTGTGGGCAGAGTATGAAACATTAGTGTGGGCAGGGTATGAAACATTAGTGTGGGCAGAGTATGAAACATTACTGTGGGCAGGGTATGAAACATTACTGTGGGCAGGGTATGAAACATTACTGTGGGCAGAGTATGAAACATTACTGTGGGCAGGCTATGAAACATTACTGTGGGCAGAGTATGAAACATTACTGTGGGCAGAGTATGAAACATTACTGTGGGCAGAGTATGAAACATTACTGTGGGCAGAGTATGAAACATTACTGTGGGCAGGGTATGAAACATTAGTGTGGGCAGGGTATGAAACATTAGTGTGGGCAGGGTATGAAACATTACTGTGGGCAGGGTATGAAACATTAGTGTGGGCAGGGTATGAAACATTACTGTGGGCAGGCTATGAAACATTACTGTGGGCAGAGTATGAAACATTACTGTGGGCAGAGTATGAAACATTACTGTGGGCAGAGTATGAAACATTACTGTGGGCAGAGTATGAAACATTACTGTGGGCAGGGTATGAAACATTAGTGTGGGCAGGGTATGAAACATTAGTGTGGGCAGAGTATGAAACATTACTGTGGGCAGGGTATGAAACATTACTGTGGGCAGGGTATGAAACATTACTGTGGGCAGAGTATGAAACATTACTGTGGGCAGGCTATGAAACATTACTGTGGGCAGAGTATGAAACATTACTGTGGGCAGGGTATGAAACAGTGTGGGCAGGGTATGAAACATTAGTGTGGGCAGAGTATGAAACATTAGTGTGGGCAGGCTATGAAACATTACTGTGGGCAGAGTATGAAACATTACTGTGGGCAGAGTATGAAACATTACTGTGGGCAGGGTATGAAACATTACTGTGGGCAGGGTATGAAACAGTGTGGGCAGGGTATGAAACATTACTGTGGGCAGGGTATGAAACATTAGTGTGGGCAGAGTATGAAACATTACTGTGGGCAGGGTATGAAACATTAGTGTGGGCAGAGTATGAAACATTACTGTGGGCAGGGTATGAAACATTAGTGTGGGCAGAGTATGAAACATTACTGTGGGCAGGGTATGAAACATTACTGTGGGCAGGGTATGAAACATTAGTGTGGGCAGAGTATGAAACATTACTGTGGGCAGAGTTTGAAACATTAGTGTGGGCAGAGTATGAAACATTAGTGTGGGCAGGCTATGAAACATTACTGTGGGCAGAGTATGAAACATTACTGTGGGCAGGGTATGAAACATTACTGTGGGCAGGGTATGAAACAGTGTGGGCAGGGTATGAAACATTACTGTGGGCAGGGTATGAAACATTAGTGTGGGCAGAGTATGAAACATTACTGTGGGCAGGGTATGAAACATTAGTGTGGGCAGAGTATGAAACATTAGTGTGGGCAGAGTATGAAACATTAGTGTGGGCAGAGTATGAAACATTAGTGTGGGCAGGGTAGATTCAGATTCAGATTCAGATTCATTTATTTGCCATTTCCAGTAAAACCACATTGGAAAACTGTGCAAGACTACCCCGGTGTGCGCCAGACAGAGAAGACGACACACACCAGAGCTCTTGCCACGGCGCCATCTTTCCGGCGCCATGCGACAAACAGTAGAATAAACAGCAGAGAGCAATAACATACAGATTACACAGACAAGTTGGATAGACACATTGTGCTTTGTATAAACCACGGATTTTTTTCTCGGGATGAGCGCCTCCTACAGCCGGCCCAATGTGGCTGTCGGAGGGGGGCGGGGTCAGGGAGGGGGTGAGTCGGAAACACAGTGAGGAGTGGAGGGGAGGGAGGGAGCAAGATGGATAGGTAGAGGGAGGCGGGGGAGGGATCCGTGCTGGAGACTGAAGACTGAATAGTGTGAGTTGTTGTAGATAGTCCGGACTTGTTATTATGGCCTTGGCCGAGGAATGTGAGATAAGAGTGGAGAGAAGACACAGCAGGAGAAAAAAACACATCGCCTGTGGAGAGGGACAATATTATATGCAATGTGGCAGTCAAAAACAGGCAGATATTCTATTAAATCCAATTAAACCGAATTGCGGCGCCCTCAGACCTCCGTACACAGGGGCAAATCCAAGCCGGGTCAGAGAGTTCAAGCCTGACACACAATGTCATTCAATCTCAGCTCCAGAGTTTTATTCCCTTCGAGTGAACTAGCTGCGAGATCTTTGATCAACTGTTCCACCAAAACCACTCTCCTTTGACCAGACACGGCGCTCTCAACCACGACTCGGTTAAGCTCCTTGTACATCCCATCAATTTTGTCGGCCAGCAGCTCGTGAATCTTGCGAACTGCCATGCCACCGAATTTGTGGTAGAAGAGGATCGCTCCAAACCCAAACAGGAGGATTCCCACCACCAAAATGCCAAAGATATATACGTCTTCCGAATCTTCAATAGACAGGACCGACAGACAGAGGGGCTGAAACTTGTTCCAGCTGTCAAGAGTATACCCCGCTGGTGAAGTCCCGTCCGGGCACACGGGCTCTCCAGACCCGCGCTTACGTGTTGAAAAGATAGAATCAATTGCGTTGAGGGACCAATTAATCATTTCCATTCTTGCTTAAAGTATGAAACATTACTGTGGGCAGGGTATGAAACATTAGTGTGGGCAGAGTATGAAACATTACTGTGGGCAGAGTATGAAACATTATTGTGGGCAGAGTATGAAACATTAGTGTGGGCAGGGTATGAAACATTAGTGTGGGCAGGGTATGAAACATTAGTGTGGGCAGGGTATGAAGCATTACTGTGGGCAGAGTATGAAACATTACTGTGGGCAGAGTATGAAACATTAGTGTGGGCAGGGTATGAAACATTACTGTGGGCAGGGTATGAAACATTACTGTGGGCAGAGTTTGAAACATTACTGTGGGCAGAGTTTGAAACATTACTGTGGGCAGGGTATGAAACATTACTGTGGGCAGAGTATGAAACATTACTGTGGGCAGAGTATGAAACATTACTGTGGGCAGAGTTTGAAACATTACTGTGGGCAGAGTATGAAACATTACTGTGGGCAGAGTATGAAACATTACTGTGGGCAGAGTTTGAAACATTACTGTGGGCAGAGTTTGAAACATTACTGTGGGCAGAGTTTGAAACATTACTGTGGGCAGGGTATGAAACATTAGTGTGGGCAGGGTATGAAGCATTACTGTGGGCAGAGTATGAAACATTACTGTGGGCAGAGTTTGAAACATTACTGTGGGCAGAGTATGAAACATTACTGTGGGCAGAGTTTGAAACATTACTGTGGGCAGAGTATGAAACATTACTGTGGGCAGAGTTTGAAACATTAGTGTGGGCAGAGTTTGAAACATTACTGTGGGCAGAGTATGAAACATTACTGTGGGCAGAGTTTGAAACATTACTGTGGGCAGAGTTTGAAACATTACTGTGGGCAGGGTATGAAACAAGCTAACTCTGTAGCAACCCCTGATAGCGCTCGGAGACACACACTCACCAACGATGATGTCCTCTGGCACTGGGCCATTCCCTTCCATTTAACTTTGTCCTCACAGTCGCTTGGAGAATTTTACTTGTTGCCGAGTGTCTTTAATTAACGGTTATAAACTTTTGGAGGCGGCTATGACCTTCATTTGGGATATAAAAAAACCATCTGGCCATAGAAGTCTCAAGGATAAGCCATAAATGAGTATGTAGCAGCTCAGCATACTGTTTACAGATTACTCAATAGAAGAATGTGTGTGTGAATGGTTGGCGGTGGTTGGAGGGGTGGATGGCACAGACTGGTTGCCTCGCTTCTGTCAGTGTGCCCCAGGGCAGCTGTGGCTACAGAAGTAGTTTAGCACCACCGTGTTTGGAGAGAATGAATAATGACATGTGAAGAGACTGAGTGTCCTGAAAAGCGCTGTATAAAACCAATGCATTATTATTATTATTATTAAAAGACAGTAATACTTTCAAACATTTTCCATCTATGACTTTGGAATAGATTTAGAAATACATAGTTAGTTATTTGACTAGAATAATAGTTACAAATCACAGTATTGTTAAAATAAAATCAACTTAAACAGATGGTTTTGATTCTGAAACCTACAGATCTGGAGGTCTTTGAAGTCCAAGACTTTTCGATAGGACAATGACCTTTGATTCAAAAAGTTGAATCAAAGGTCTTGAGTTAAATTGCTTTTTTAACGGCTGCAGCCAAAACATGTTAACAAGGTCATACATCTAAACGTGTGTTTCAAAAGAACCAAAAGAGAATAATGGCCAATACTGTTAACAATATACTTCTCAGTGGTTTTAGCAGAAGGGAGCACATCACCCCTGTCTTAGCGTCCCTTCACTGGCTCCCTGTGCGTTTTAGAATTGATTTTAAGATTTTACTGATTACTTTTAAAGCTCGTTTAGGTCTGGCCCCAAGCTAGTTTTATGAACTTTTAACCCCCTACGAGCCCCCCCCGCAGGTCCCTGTAACTGTTCCGAGGTCGAGGCTCCAGACGAAAGGAGACCGAGCCTTCTCTGTCCGGGCTCCTCGGCTTTGGAACCACCTGCCCGAGGAGATAAGGCTAAAACCCACTTATATCAAACAGCTTTTAATTAAGCTTTAAACTTATGTTGTATTTTACTGTCTGCCTTGGTTCTTTACAAATACATTTATTATTATTATATCTTATTCTCATCTGACATTAGCCTCTGAGTGAAAGTGAGAGATGTTCGCACAACAAGTGGAAAGGCGGCCGAACGCCCTGCAGCGAGAACCCATGACCCCGAGAACCCATGACCCCGAGACGCTCAGTGGGATTGATGCCCCGGCGTGTTTGTGTGTGGAAAATACCTTGCAGGTGCCGATGCAGCCCACTGGCCGTTCAGGACGCCCACTCAGGCCCAGCTTGTTATTGACGGCCAGGAAGCGGTATGCCTACAGAAGCGTGGAGAGGAATCAGATAAACAAGCAAACATTATCTGCATCTGAACACACTGCACTACATCTTTAACCTGTATCGAGAATAAGCACATACTGAGAAATATTCTTTTGATATTATAATGTGACGCAGCAGAGTTTCATTTCAAAGAGTAATGAAAGTGTTGCTCCTTTATGCGTCCGTCTTGATGAAGAATTCGTGATATTGCAACTCATAAAGTGAAATTGCCTCCAGAAGCCAGGACCTCCTCTTGTATAATAAAATATCCCCAAGCAGCCATCACAAGTGTGCGAAGGATTACCATGTGACTAGCACTGATTAAACCTCAGCCTCAACATGCAGGGACCAGGAATATTTGTATACAATACCAGTTCAATCAGTGCGGAATACAAGTAATGCATGTAAAAAAGCCCTCATTAGGCGATAGAAGCTATTTCCATACATCACATCACACCACCAGCTGAAACTGACACAATCTGAGGTTACTCTACAGCCTTTTTAACATTCATTCATTTTCATCTATATATATACCTATATAATCAGGGGGCGGCAATCAGAGCTGCCTCCAATTCACAAAGCACCAGTCCCTCTGATCCTCCTGCAGGTGGGGGTCCACAGGAAGATGGCTGCTCCTTCAACACAGATATGGCCTTGATCTTTCAGCGGGGACTTCAGGCAAAGTGGGGTTAAGTGTCTTGCCCAGGGACACAACGACAGCACACATCAGTGGGAGCAGGTGACATGGCTCGTGGTGGGATTGAACCCACGACTATTAGGTCCAGAGACCAATGCTCTACCAACTGAGCTACTGTCGCCCCCATTTTTAACAAAACTACACTACCGTTCAAAAGTTTGGGGTCAAGTGTTTTCCATGAAAAGTCACACTTATTCACCACTGTACTTTGTGAAATGAATAGAATTAATGATTTGTATTTGAAATAAGATTTGTTTTACATCCAACTTTGCTTTTGTCAAAGAATCCTCCATTTGCAGCAATTACAACATTGCACCAAAAACCAGACATTTGCAGCTAAGTAAATCTCATCAAAGTGTTTTATACAGAAAAGTGCAAAGAAGTATTTCTAATCTTCTAATTCTTTGTTTTTCCACATTATTTTGAGTAAATAGGTGATATTGGATCATTCCCCCCGGACGAGCTGGAGGAAGTGTGTGAGAGGGAAGTCTGGACGTCTCTGCTTAGACTGCTGCCCCCGCGACCCGGCAACGGATGAAGCGGAAGAAAATGGATGGATCATTTCCCAAGGCACACTGAAGTACATCTGCAGGCACACCAACGGTCCCCGGCCCACTGGTTGAAAAACACTGATCTAGAGCATTACTATATAAGACATATTGTATTGAGGTATTGAGCAACACTTATAAAACTAACACAAAACCAGTTTTCATTTTGCTAAAAAAAGGCAAAAAGAGCAAATTCACACTGTTTACAAATCTCCAAACATTACATTTCTATGAGTTAGTCCATCTTTAAAATGACCCCCTGTCGAAGCCACTCACTCTCAGAGACAGTTCATGAAGCAAAAATACAGAACTAATGTAATGAAAAGTGAGAGGGGCTGATCTCTGGGATCAACTTAAATCATGTAATTCACTTTTCCACTTTATAAAGAAGTTTAAAACTATCATTCTGGACAGATACATCAATCAATCTTTATTTAGGGATAGCACTCTCGCCTCTCAGCAAGAAGGTCCTGGGTTCAAATCCCGGTTGGACCAGGGCCTTTCTGAGTGGAGTTTGCATGTTCTCCCCATGTCTGCGTAGGTTTCCTCCGGGTGCTCCGGTTTCCCCTACCACTAAAAATATGTACAATAGTTCTGGCATGTGCCTCCTGTACTGGCCCCGCTCCCATCTCTGTGTGGAGTGAGAAACAAATGCCCAAAATTAACAATTGTAAACCGCTTTGAGACTCAGATCTGCAGTGAAAAGGCGGTATATAAATAAAGATTACTTTCTACTACTTTAGCTTTCCCTACACAGAGTAACACAAAGCGCTCCACAGTCCACACCACACACGGCACAAATCATTTAACAAAAACACAATTCAAATCTACATGGACTCAGAATGTTGATGTTGATATTATCGGCTTATTAACCGAGCGCGAGGTCTGTACAGAGAAATATCAGACCTTGGCCTTTTTGCACAGATCTCGCCGTTAATAAATGTTTTATTATATGACTCTCGTCTGTGTCTTTACCAACGCTTTTGAGATATTTGTGAAGTATCTTCATGTCCGACTTGGTTTTGTGTGATACGCGCTGTGGACAGATTGTCATGGTAACGGTCCGAGATGGGAAAATATCAGACTGGTAATCAGCCAATCAGAGCGCGCGTACGGTCCAAGTCATATAATAAAGTTTCTTATGTAAATCCTAATGTACAAAGTCACTTATGCTAATGATGCTGGTAAAAAGGCTAGCAACATTAGCATTAGCTTCAGCCAACTCGTTTTCAGTCTTTTGTTCTGCTGTAAATGCACTGCTCTGTAACTATCTGTAAAATTAACTTTATTCATTCATAAATTTTCTCAGTGATCAATTGTTTTAAAGTATTGTTAAGGTACTTCAACAAACTATAACCACACAGCTTTGAGTGCCAGCTGTATACGAATGTTTGGTTTATTATTTCCAGAGAGCAGTCAATTAGGAATTTAAGACCATCTAATTACAAATCTCTTTTGATTTCCCAAACCACACGAGTGCTAGGACTGTGAGTTAGTAGTGTGTGTAGTTTACTTTATCTATTTGATCAGGTACAATGCACAAACAACATTAGTCTAAAAAAGAGGAGATGTCATGTGCCAGGTTATAGCAAAAATGCTAATTTCCACCCGCAGTCCCTGGACAGGTTGATGTTATACTTAAAAGAATTCATAAAATATATACAGAATAATACATAAACGCTTACATCATAAAAGCACTTTCTATCATTCACTCTCGCTCACAGTTTACAGCGTTCACAGTCATTCAATGCGTACAGGTTTGCTTTGATAATAACCACTGTTTATATGGCCTTCCTTCATCTGATCTCCAAAAACTACAATATGTCCAAAACTCCGCCGCCCGCCTCCTCACTCAGACCCAGAGAGCACATCACCCCTGTCCTTCAAAAACTCCACTGGCTCCCCGTTAAACAGCATCCATTTCAAAATCCTCCTCATCACCTACAAAGCCCTCCATAACCTCCTCCAGACCTCACTGAACTTCTACAGCCCTACAGTCCTTCCCGCCGACTCCGATCTGCGGACTCTCCTCACTCCCACTGTCAAATCCAAGCACCGAACCTTTGGGGACCGAGCTTTCGCCATCTCTGCTCCCACTCTCTGGAACTCCCTCCCCCTCCAGAAACTCAGACTCTCTAAACTCCTTCAAAAAACTTTTTTAGTTTGTGTGTCTGTCTAAACGTGTGTGTTTGTGTCATGAATTTGTGAAGCGTCTTTGAGTTCTTGAAAAGCGCTATATAAAACTGATGTATTATTATTATTATTATTATTATTAGTCTGACCAAAAGCGGACGTCACAATAGTTTTTGCTGAACACGGAACACAAACTTTCTGCCGCTAATTTTCTTATATCTCCTTATATGGGCATTTGTTTGGATGGGGTCAACAGTATATTCCTAACATGGCTGCTGAAGCGAGTTGGCGTTTCTCCTGCAAATTAAGAAAGTAGAAAGAGCAGCGATCGCACAACAAAACATTAATTAATTAGTTTTCCGGTGTCATGGCGGCAGCATAGACGGCCACGTCCACGTCCTCTCTCTTCAAACTGAGAAACCGAAAAGTGAGGTGGCAGTTACCTAGATCCCGGAGCTGTGAAACCCAGTCTTTAGTCTCTGCCCATTGCTCTGCGGTTGGCGTTTGAGAAGAGCATGAGGACATGGGGACTACGCGCAGATGAAAGTCTAATGCTCTGTTTTAAAGGGTACAAAAAAAAAAAGAGTAGTATTACAGCGATTGAGCCGCTCCAGAGTCCGGTTTAGATGTGTGGAGGAAAGACACACATTTAATCAATGTTTTAAAACGCGAAGAATGAATGCCACTGCCATCAAGTATAGTGCTGTGAGCCAGGGCTAGGCCAGTGACGAAGGCCAGGACTGGACCAGGGACTGGGCTAGTACAGATTTCTTATTGATTTTCTGATTTCATAGCATTTTTGCTCCCATTGCTGATTTTTCAAGTAAGTAAATCGGAGCCAGAGTGACATGAAGTAAAACTTTGCTCATGAGCTAAGTCTAAGCCACGCCCCCCGGTTCAGCACATGACAGGGCGTGGGCATGGATGTGGTGACAGTTTTTGGAGTAATTACATAAAACCAGCCGCAGCAAATACACGGACGTCAATAAAAGGCCTTTTATCAATGCAGAGACGCCCTTCTGACGCCATGCTGAGCTTTGTGAGGGCCCCCTGCTGTCTGTCACACCCTTGTGTCTTTCGTATCTTGAATCTGTATGCCTGCTTATATCCATATGTCCCTGCTGCCAGGAAGGAGCCGGACCCCCCCGACACCTACAGACAATGGCTATCACTCTTGCCCCCTTTCACCTCTTGCATATGTATCGGTCTGTATGTGTGCACTCTCTACATCCTGCACCGGTGGCCCCCCTCCCATCTGTTGTGGGCGGGACTGGCTTTCGTGTGTGTCTTGGATACAGGAAGCTGGGGGCTCTGGCCCCCAGAGCTGAGCATGCTGCCTTTGTGTGCATATGCTGACTCTCCGCACTGTGCGTTAACAATAAACTTACGCTTTTGATCAGACAAAGGACCTTTGAGTTTCCTCCTTCATGGGGTATATAATTCTATAACAATTTGGCGTTGCTGACATGTCTTGGCATGGGATACTTTCGGCGGGGACGAGCGGCTTTGTTTGGCCGACCTGGATCACCAGCCTCTGTTCCTTTTTGGAGACAAAGGAGAGCGCGCTCGTCCGCGCACGGAAGGAATCCTTTTGCCACACAAGACCAAAAAGAACCTAATC